CACCCTGGGGCGCACTGACAGAGGCGAGGCTGCCGGACACTGGCGCCACCGGGCCCTCTGACCAATCAATAGGACACATCATTAGGACATCATTAAGACACAGGGTCTCATTTTCAAGAGTGGCCTGTTTTTAAATATCCGTTCAATACTACAGCACATTAAAGTTATTACACACTATAGTCATTACACTTGATATAACCAATTAACTGTTAAAATGCAACTAAAAAAACAACAGCAGTAGCAATAAAACATAAGAACAGGAACAGCCATCCAGTGATGGTTTCTCCATTATCCTTGGAATTTATTTAAAACCCCTCAGTTCAGTTAAGTTGCACAGCTTCAGATCGTGTTGTAATTTGTTCCAAGTATAAGGATCATTGTAAGAAAATGCCTTTTTCCCAACTTCTGTGCGTACTGAAGGAACAGTGAATGTAATAAAAGCTTGTGAGCGGAGGCTCTAGATTCTCTGTTAAGGTGACACATAGTAAGTTAGATACACTTGTAGTAAACAAATTACTGATTTATGACTGAAAATGTACTAATGCAACAGTCTGTGGGTGGACAGTGAACGCCAGTTAACCAAAGAGTATGAAGTACAATGGTTGGTAAGAGTTTTACATCCTGTGATGAATCTCAGTGCTCCGTGATAAACAGCATCCAACATCTGTAAAGAGCTAACAGGAACGTTCATAGTGGTTTGTGCTTAACAACAAATGATACATAAGTAGATATATAGAAAAATTATGTATATTAAAAAAAATTAAGAACCTTAATCAGTGCCATCTAAGTTTGGACTTGGAAACAATGGTACACTAGTTTTAATGCAGGAAAAATAACAGTTTTCCTGCACAAAAATATCTGGTTTTCATGACAATAGTGTGTAATATTTCCCTGACTGGACTGACAAGAGAAATAAAACTGTAGCAGAGGATTACGCCTATCTGACAGGCATGTAGTTTAGTTTAACCACATCACCTTGGTGTTGCACTCAAATATTTCTATCTAGCGCCCTCCTTCATGTCTGTCAGTGACAGAGAGACAGGCTAGGTTTCCTCTTGACATTAAGTTCTGAGTTGATGTGTATTTGATTGGCCTTTACCTGTCAGGTTTTCATTCTGTGTAGCCAAAGAGCTAGAGTCTATGCAGACAGACTTGAGACTGCAAGTCTTAATTTCACTACAACTAATTTCTTTGTATGTTATAACTTCTCTCTGCAGCAGATGCTAAGCTAAAGCACCAACAAAGTGAATAGAAGTAGCTAAAGTTGATGGTTTCTGCAAATATTTGACGCTGCCCCCTGGTGACTGGTCACAACTACAGCATGTAGATGTGACTGCAGAGCTCAGCATAGCACTGACTCATTACCAGAGCACTACTAAGCTGCTACTTAAAATTAGTAAACAGAGCAATAAATTAAATTTCTGTATTTAACTTAACACTACTCGGTACTGACTTATTAATGGTGTGACACAGTATACTTGCCACTGTATTTCTATCTGGTCCCCAGCTCTGTAACAACCTTTTTATCATCTTATATTGCAGCAGCGAAGAAAGGCAGCATTGGCAAGTCTAAAGAGGAGCTGACCTTGGAGAAGAGGAGGGAGCTAGAGAGGAGGCTGCAAGATGTCAGCGGACAACTCAATTCAGTCAAGAAACCCACGAAACCTAAAGGTAAGCTCTCACATCATCACATTTCTGTGTGGATGCAAACATGTCTGGTTTTCAGAGCAACTTACAGTTTCTCTAAGTTACTCAAATACTGTGCACTTCAATAATTCAGCGAAGATGCCACAGCGTTTCAAGTGTAGAGTT